AGACGAGGATTGCTCCTCATCTTTTTTGTAGACCCTCATAGTTATGGGGAAAAAACCGTAATTTAAAACGCCACCAGATCGCGCCAAAATGGCCAGAGAGGCTTTGTCGATCACAAAACTGACCGACCTAAACTTGCCTTTGGCTTCTTCCAGCTTAGTGACCTTCCACGTGGACGTATTTAGATCAGGGTTTCCCACCCGAATTAGCTCCAGAATCCGCTGAGGGTCGGATGGTTCGGCTGGAATCCAGGAACGCGCCCTAGGTCGGCCAGGAATTTGTTCCTTGGCAACGACTTTAAGCTTTGCGCCTGGCCAAACCTCACCCATTCTGGAGATGGCAATGCGAAAGAGATCAACAGAACGCTGATCAACGCAGGCGACTAGTTTCACATGGCCCTGAAACCATCCACCGTCGCGACATTTGGGAATTGTACCTGGAAATTCCTTAAGAACTTCGAGGAACAAGTCAAGGAGCTTTCGCTCAATTTGATCCCATTTTTCAGGATTAATAGTGCCATCTGGATCATTTTCATCAATGACCGCCATTATGATGGAGCCCTTCAGCGTGTCGCTAAAGGACTTAGTAGTGGTGGCGTTGCCACGAAATTTTGCCTTTTTGGCATCTGGCTTCGAAGCTGACTCATCTAATGAGCGCTGGCGCTTCGGTACAGGTTCCTTTTTGACTTCCTTAGAAGTATCAAGGACCCGTTTGGCCCAGGCTAATCTAGCCTTAAGAGACTCGGACGTAACCGAGACATTACCATATCTCTCGAGCAGCCTAGTCGCCGCTCGCCGTTCTTTATAAATTCTCCTGGATGGAGAGCCCGACCATGCAGAAGGGCCAGAACGCGTGGAGATTCCTGTTTTATTAGGAGGTACCCTGTTATTACCGCTAGAAGTTGCGGTAGGTACCTTGGAACTAGCCGTTCCAGAAGAGCTTGGTTTAACCGAGCTTGATTTTTGTAAATTTTTATTGTTTTGGTTCATATTTTAAACCCACGAGTTGCGGAGAAAGGAGAGTCGATCCGGGCAGAGATCCGCTATACCCGGACAAGGCTAAGTTACAACCGGAGGGCGCCAGATATCCGGAGGTCTCCGTTTAGAGACACACTAACGTAGTGCCATTCATCTCATCGGCACGGGTCGAATAACACCGGAGATTACGGGTTTTATCGAGTTTTCCTCTCTAGATCCATAGTGTTCTGTTGAGTCAATGAAATTATCAACTACAAACAGGTTCACCTCGAGAAGGGTGTGATAAAGTACCACGCACCATGGTCTTGGTAAGGCATAGGCTGATGTTTTGCGCATGACCATACCCTGTTCATTGAGAACACGAACCCATACATAACACTTAATGCAGAAGACATTAAAATAAACGATCAACCTATAAACAAAGCTATAGGTAAATCGAATACCGAAATAAACATTAAAAAAACCGCTAGTGAGATTGCTATAGCAAATAAAATTAAATTAATTAGTAATAAAAATAATAATTTAAACAAAATTTCTCAAAACAGTACAAAAGATATAGTTCCATACGAAATTAACATGTCCACAAATACCAGCCACACTAATGACAAAAATAATGAAGCTCTTAATAAAAAAATGAGAGAATTAGAAGTCTTATGCGGCAAACTTCATCAAGAAATTATCCAACTCAAAAGTGAAAACCAAAAATTAAGGTCGCAACTTATTAACAATAATGTTCCGAAAGAGCTAACCACCATAACTTTCGAAACAGACGAGGAAGAGCTTGCTCGAGAAACCGACTGGATCGTTAAAAGAAATAATAAAAGAGCCTCAAAAAAGCGCAAAGCTACTACATCTCCAAGTGTGTCACCAACTCTCAACAATGTGACACAAAAGCATTCTAAAGAAACGGAAAAGACATCAACCCAGCTTCGTCCACCTCCAATTATGGTAACTGTTTCTGATAATTACAATCACATAAGAAAAATTATTACAAAGGAAAGCAAAAATAAATTTTTGCTGAAACTAATGAATAACGACTTATGTAAAATTAGCACTTTCGATGGTAACGATTATCGGGAAGTAACTCGAGCTCTAAATGAAGCAAATCTCTCATGGCACTCTTATGAACATAAACAGCTTAGACCAATAAGAGTTATAGCAAAAAACCTGCATCACTCATGCGACCCTACAGATATTGTTGGCGACCTTGCAAAAAAGGGATTTAAAATTGTCAGCGCAATTAATAAGCTACAATTTAAAACTAAGAAACCACTGGATATGTTCATATTATCCTTTGAGGCAGTAGAAGATACGAACAAAATCCATGAAATCAAAGAAATCTTAAATACGATAGTATCTATAGAAACAATAAAACCCTCTAAAATTATCCCGCAGTGCACCAAATGCCAATCTTTCAACCATACCAAAAACTACTGTCAAAAGCAGCCAAGGTGTGTGAAATGTGCAGGTAAGCATGAAACCATAAATTGTGAAAAACCCGATGATAGTCACCCAAAATGTTGCAACTGTGGGGAGCAACACCCAGCGTCATATCGCGGTTGTGTAGTCGCAAAAGAGCTTCAAAAATTAAGAGACCAAAAAACAAAAAAAGTTCCTGTCCCAGTTCAAACAGATAATATCGAAAGACCAATAATATACTCAAGTCGAAAAATCGCTAAAGTATCATATGCAGACGCTATTAAGTCAACAACCTCCGTAGCTCAAAGAATAAATATATCTGATGAATCACAAAATGTCCTCTCTGTTATTCTTGAAAAACTAATGGCAATAGAAAATCGCCTAGACAACTTAGAACAAAAACATAATTGTACATCTGTATGATTGCTCTTAAAATTATGGAATGGAACGCAAATGGTTTGCTTCAACACAAAAACGAATTAGAATTACTTCTGCTAACAGAAAATATAGATATATGCCTAATAAGCGAAACTCATTTTACAAAAGAAACGTATATCAATTTTAAAAACTATAATATTTATCATACTATTCATCCAAGCAATAATGCTAGAGGCGGAAGTGCCGTTATAATTAAATCCAACATTAAGCATTATCAAGATAATAAACTCTCTAATGAAGAGTTCCAGGCAACAACCGTTGCAGTTGAAGAGAGTGGTTCCAAAATACAAATAACGTCCATCTATAGTCCACCAAGACATAACGTAAAATATGAACAATACATAGATCTATTAAAATTACACAATCATAAAGCAATAATTGGTGGTGATTTTAACGCAAAAAATGTTCAATGGGGGTCAAGACTAAATACCACAAAGGGTAAGGAATTACTTAAAGCATGTCGGGCCACAG